CAGCTTTTTGGTGTAGCTCACTTTAGCCTCCTTGATTCCCCTTTTAAGATCAGTCCTTGCCCGCCAGTACTTTGCCTGGTCTCCCGACGCGTATGCAGCATTCCGTGCCTTTAACAGTACCCTGACCTTACTCGTCATCCAGGGTTTACAGTTAGGGTAGATCCGAACCTGCTTGTGAATGATAACAGTGTCCATGCAATGTTTGATATAGCAGAGCACAGTATCTGTGTAAATTTGTAGATCCTCATTTTCAAAAATGCTCCATTCTGTGTGAGCAAAACAGTCCTGCAGTTGAGCCATGGCTTCATCTGTAAGAGTGTTAATGGTTTTAATAATTGGCCTTGTTCTTTTTTTCAGTGGTATGTATGCAGGTAGGAGGAGCAGAGAGAGATGGTCTGACTTGCCAAGGGGGGGGGGGGGGGGGAGACGGATTTATAAGCCTGTTTAATATTTGTGTAAACATGATCCAAGATGTTGTTTCCTCTCGTGGGGCATTTCACATGTTGAACAAATTTAGGCAGCACAGTTCTCAAGCACGCTTTGTTGAAATCCCCTGCTATAATATGTACTCCTTCAGGATATGTTTGCTGCTGTTCACTGATTTTATAATATAAGTGATCAAGGGCTAGACTAACATTGGCATCCGGTGGTATATAAACTGCTGTTATCATCACAACTTTTCTAACCCTAACCCCTCTAGAGAGCTGTGATTGGCCAGCCAGAATGCTGCTAGGGGCTGTAGAGGTCCCAGTGGAGCATTCCTAGACCAAACTTTGCAAAGCAAGAATTTGGTCTAGTTCACTTGGCTATGAAAATATGTCCAGGACTAACCAAACTGATGTAATCAAATCAGACATGGAGCAGAGGAATATGGCTCTGTCCTGCAGCGCTCCTCCGTGAGAGCGGGGGATGGGGGCTGTACATGTTCTGCACACGTTCCGCTGCTGTTTCTCACCAGTATCAGCTGATGGAGGGCTCTAGTTTTGTTGCGCCGTTCGTGTCAGCGGGTCGGGGCGGGGCATGACACTTAGCCTGGCGGGTGGCCAAGCAAAGCCTGGCGGGCCGCCAGGCTTATAAAGCACTGGGGGAACACTGAGCTATGAAGTGTTCTGTCTGGTGGAGCTGCTAATGCTAACGGTTAGTTTCTACTAGCCGAGATGGTTTAGTGCCCAGCAGAGAACAACAACAGCCTTTCCCGTTGTGAGTCAAGATGGGCGAGTCCATTGTAAACATTACAATACAGGTCAGGTCATTAAGCCAATCAGTAAAAAGTTTCCTATATAAGGAACCCAGCAGGTTGCATCGAGTCACTGACTAGTGCAGACCTGCCAACCTTGTCACAATGTTGAGTACCACATGCGCGGCGTTTATTCATAGACTTTTGCAACTTGGTTTCCACGCTGTAAAGTCCCCATTCACTGGCTGGAAACATCTTCTTGAATAGTCCAAAGTATCACGCATTTTAATATTAACCCGCCCACTGTCTTTATGGGTGACCCCGCGAGGAAAGTTGACCATTGAGCAGGATTGATGGTTTATCCCTTCAGGTCCACGTGGCAGGGGTGAGGTGGTGCTCGTTCCTCACCCCTGCCATGTGGACCTGAAGGGATAAACCATCAACCCTGCTCAATGGTCAACTTTCCTCGCGGGGTCACACCCACTAGGCCAGTGGGAGGGTTAAACAGTAAAACTCAGAAGGTGCAGTTGATTACCTTGTATAACATGTGTGCTTATACAAGCTGATAGCCACAAGTTACTTGCATTGAATTATTTCAACACCCAATTAATCAAAAATCATTTAAAAAATATTTTTATATGTATTTTTTGATGATGATTTTTTTTGTATATTGCAACAGGTGTTCTGTTTTCAAGAATGTAATATTAGATTGGCTTAAAGTGCATGTGCACACACCACCGGGGCCAATTTATACATTACCTGCAGCTCCCTGGTGGCTTATGTCCACATCATAACAGCAGATGAAGCCAAAAGCATGGCGAGGTAGTTTAGAGGGTTTTATTTTATTTATGTATTTATTGTTGTTTTGTACAAAGCTGAATTTGTTCCCTTTCTAGTTTCTAGTGTAGAAAGGTTAATTCCAATTTTTCCACTTCCTGCATCTTTAGTCTGCTCCAACTATAGAATGTTTTAGTTTATGGGTGATCAAAATAAACGTAATAATAAACGTAGCCTACTGTTTATTATGTTAGCAACATGTTTTTACAGGTTTATGATCCAAACTCACAACACATCACCGAAGAAAGCTGCATTCTTAAGACTTTCACTAAATCTACTGAAGGTTTCACATTTTACAAACTGTCTTTTATGGATTTTGCTGTTATTGTAGAATAATCTAGTCCAGGTTCAAAAGAGTCCAAGACTACGTTCACACTGCAGGCAAAAGCGCATCAAATCGGCTTTTTCCTCCAAATGCGACCCATATCTTGATGTCTGATGTTTATTGAAGGTGACAGCAGTCTGATCGGCCTTGTCACATTAAACCGGTCTCCTACGTCACAGAGTCAGCGGTGGCGAGCGTCTGTGTGTGGATGTTCCTGAGGAGAGGCGCTGACAGAAGGGTTCAGGAGTTTGTCTGGACATCCTGTTTTAAGTTTTGGAATCAAAAATACAGGAGAGCACGAGAACGGGAGTGGCAGGTGCTTCTGGAGCAAGTGTTTCATCGGTCTCCGTCAATGAATGAATACCGGAACATTTCCAGTGAATAATAATAATTCAGGGAGACAGCGGGAACAAGGAGTAAAACAGTTTACTGTTTTTAAAACGGTTTCCAGCCTAAAACGGAAGAATTAAAACGTGTGAATGTTTTCACTGACGGTTTATCCACAGGATCAGGATTACATCACTACTCCGCCGCTCCTGGTTTTGGCTCCACTGAGTGCGTCTTCTTGTCTTCTGCGCATGCAGGTCGCTTTGGAGCTGTGAAGCGTTCACACTGGAGAGCGTCTGATTTCAGTCATAGTGTGAACACACACACAAAAAACAATCCTAATTGAGCATCAAGGCCTGCAGTATGAACATAGCCTAAGTGTTGTAGTTTTGAGCTGGACCAGATGAAACTTGTGTATTTTTCAACGGTAACAAATCAAATAAAAGGTTCACAAAACAAAAACTATGTTTTAAGGACTTTGCTTTTAGTTTTAAATGATCTAGTTAAGGTCTGAAAAGTCTAGGTGTCGTAGACTTTGAGCTCAGCCAGTTCTAATGGTTCTATTTTGCTTTTTGTAATAACTTTATCTCGTTCTCATTAAAAATAAATAATTATTCACATCAACAAGCCATCTCTGAGGTCATCCATAACCAGGATTGGTACACACAACTTTAACAACTGAATTAGCTCCAGTATCAAATGTTGTTTTGCACAAACCAGATGTTTTAAAGCACGGAGGCTGCGGTTCTGCTGTGTGTGAGCAGAGAGCTGCGGAGCGATGGAGGAACGAGATTCAACAACAGAACCGAGCAGAATACAGACGTAACATCGGTGCAAAAATGAGCAGGTTTTGATTAGCAGCAGGAGAGGGAGGGGGAGGGCAGACACAGCGAGAAACACACACACACACACACACTTTTAAACACCAGAACAGCAGCGAGTGGGAACAGGAGGATGCAGGACGAGGGCGGACGCTATAGGCTAGGCAGAATTGCTTTCCTCTGCTTTTTTAAGATGATTGGCTAGAACTTCTTCACCACGCTGCTGAGTCGTGTTGTCAGACATGAGGAACAGCACATTTGCTACAGAACCCACGTGTCCGCAGCTTTTTGCATAAGTCAGAGGGGCGAGTCGTACCAGCGTAACTAGATGCCAAATTGTGTACTCGCTACGCAAAATGCATACAGGTTGGCAGGTCTGCTAGCGCCAGAGTCTTTACAGCAATCCTCACAATAAGCAAGCATGTAGCGACAGTAGAGAGGAAAACTCCCTTTTAACAGGAAGAAACCTCCAGAGGGTGAATTATGGCAAAGACTCGTTTACATTGGTAAACAGCAGTTGGGAGAAGTTAAGCTAATGATAATGGATATTGTGTGTGTGTGTGTGTGTGTGTGTGTGTGTGTGTAATATATACTGTCAAAAGATCTCAACCACTGGAAAAACTGTAACAAAACTAAAATACTAATCAGACACATCTGCACTGAATAGCGTATTCCACAGGTGACGTCACCGGCCAAGTGCTGCTGGGTGCTAGTGGTAGACAAACTGCCCATAAATTAAATTAAATAAATAAATAAATAAACAGAGCACTTGGACGTCGATAAAAACAACCGACAGAAACAAAATTCTAACTTTTATCCTCAAAAAGTGACTCATTACTCAGTCCTCAATAACATGTTCTCTGTTGCTTTGCTAGTCTTATGTTGTCAATTGTGTCACTACTTTTTACATACCACCCACCCCTGCTCAAAAGCCTTGTTCCTCCATGTTAGGATGCTGTTTGTCTGAGACGTCCGGCTGAAACCTCTCTTTTACACCGCTGCCTCCTGGAAAACTCCATTCCACATAAATACTGCCACCGTTTTGATTTTTCCATCTTTAAACCGGCCCGTTTACCTTCCCAGCTGTTTGATGTGATCATGGACCTTACCCGGCTTTGAAAAATGGATAAAAATGTCCCTTTCGACATGATCTAGGTATCTAGAGGCTGATTAACACCTTAACCAACGGCGGTGCCGAGTTCCTTCCTGTTTGAACATATTTATGAAACGAAACTACAACACTGAGATGCGCCGAGTGCCTCAGACCCAACGGCACCCGTGCACATTGCATGCTTGCTTGTCTAGGGCTGCATCCCACTGCAATGCATTGCATCACGATGATTTTGTAGCAACTGTAGAAGACGCCATTCCCTTTGAGCCAATTCCATTCATAAATGTCTCCAACTCCCTTAAACAGGGTAAAGTTGCACCTTTGGGCATCATGAACACACATTTTAAAAGAGCCAAACAAGCAGCGAAAGCCATGAGTGTAACTTTGCGTGTGAACACTGACCGGGTCGAGCAGCACCGTGTGCACATCCTCCCCGTAGCGGTTTTTCAAGCAAGGGCCACAGAACTGACCTTTGACCCCCACACATAAGCCACTCCGACACACTGTCTTGGTGTCCAGAGTCTTCTGTCTGCACTGGTGACACGAGCTCCCCTGGAGAAGAAACAACAAGAGTCCCACGTACAAACGGACCTGCTGACATCACACGAAAGGTGGAAGGTGAGGTCTCACGTTGTCTTTGTCCCAGATTTTGTCTTTGCTGCGGTATGCAATGTTGTCCAGGTCGTCCTCGGTGATCTCGTCCACAGATTTCACCACATACTGACTCTTTCTAGAAATATAGCTCCTCCTCTTTTTGGGCCTCTCTCCAGCGAGTCCCTCGTCCACCTGAGCAGGTAAACAGGTAACAGGTAAAACCACTAGCCTCCAACATGAGACCACATTTCTCTGCTTTAAAGGAAAAATTCACAAACCGGCTTCAATCGAAACATTTAATGAAAGGTTTCCTCACAACAAAATCCAGTGATTATAACCAAAACAAAAGTTGAAATAACGCCAAAGTGTGTGTTACACATCATACCTCCATCAGTCTCTTGATGTCCACGGTTCTGGGACTTCTGTGAATAGGCTCACTTTTTTCCTCTACTGCAAATTTCTCAGGAGGACGAGCCTTCCGGGACGGGTTTCTCCTCTCCGACCCTACGCTGGAGGCAAACTTGCGCTTTTGCGGCGTTCCCTTCTGATGAACTTGTTTCTTCTTCTGTCCAGAAGCAACACAAACAATAAATAAGCACTGATCGTTTATGCCGTATATGAGTCATTCTCAAACTGTGGTACAAGCGCTCCCTCTAGTGGTACAAAGGAGATGTTTTGGTAACAGCAGTGAAAAATGGTGACCGCCAAAAAGACCAGTGCTTCCAGTTTACTTCCATCCTGCAGCAAATGGAAACTGCTGGAAAAGAGGTGTGGTGAAGAGTAATTACTACTTGCCCACTCTTAAATAAAAGACATATTTGCCCTATTTCATGTACCTGACTTTTGTATTAGAGCGCTCTGATTATCACCTGTTTCACTGTCATAAATTAATTAGCAGGATGAACACACAACAGATGGCAGTAGGGCTCCAGTAGTTTAAACCAGTGGTTCCCAACCTTTTTCCCAAGGGACCCCGTTTTTTACCAGTAAAATTTTTGACGACCCCCTCCCATTCTCTCTTCCAGTACTAACATTATTAAGAAATGATCAAATTGTTCAACCACATTTTAATATGGTTTGATTCAATAGATAACAGTAATAGTAGGCTCCAGTACAGAACAAAGTCATTAACAAGACCAAACAGAGCATAATGTGCTTGACAGTTTGTATTACTTTTCTGAACACATTGTTTCTTGTAAACACTGATAAATCAATCATTCCTTTCAATAAACGTTTGACACATAAAAAATGCACTGAGCAAAATGTACTTAAATGTGTATATTACTGTTTATCCTAGATTATTTACTGTAAACGCTGTGATTAATCAACCAGTCCTACCTTTAATGAACTTTTGACACTTGAAAATACAACAGTGAGCTGAGCAAAATGTTCTTAAAAGTAGGGCTGCTCGATTATGGCAAAAATAATAATCACGATTATGGTGACTGAAATTGAGATCACGATTATTTAGGACGATTTTTCAATTTATGTTGATTTTATTTGTTTTTATTCAGTCATAAAATTGCTCAGGGCACAATCAGGACAAAAATAAGAAACAAGATGATCACTAAAATAACTCCTGATTCCCAGTATAAAAAGACCAATATACTTATAGCTCATAGTTTATGACCCAAGGGCTATAGACCTTGGTTTAACTCATTTAAGTCTAACCAGTACAGACCCAAATACCAATATCTTGCAAATACTGACAGCAAGAATTATACAGTGGCATTTATAACAAATACATGCAAATAAATTGATGTTCACAAAATGTTGCATAATACGTATTTAGTCGTGTCAATGTGCTGCTGGAGAGTGCACTAGCACCGTGTCCTCAGAGAGATTAGTTATTATTTATCAGCGTGAGGAACTTATTTCTACCTTATTTATAAACTATTTATTTACAAGTCCATAAATTAATGTAATAATTGTCCCAACCACAGCTGCACCCCCCACCCCCCAACCCGGTCTCACAGCAATCAGGGCAAGCTGCTCGTGTGTTTAGCACGCTGCACGCGCACATTTAGCCGTTTTAGTGGCTCAGGAGTCCGCAGGTGCGGTGTGTGTGTCACTCACTCTGGTTAATCCAACAGGGAGCCGGCTCCGAGAGCTGTCTTTAGCGACCGACACATCACTACATCATTCCCTTTCCTAATGTCCTGAAGAACGGTCCGGAGAGCAGGCGGAGTGTTTAGCTAACCTGCAGGAAATGTCGACGACAGTTATCCAGAAAGTAGCTAAGGGTTACCAGAGATGTTTCTGAGGTGTTCGCTAGGTACTTTTAAGTTAAAAAGTCAAGAAGGGGGTCTGAAAAGCTGCTAGAAATAGCGTCAAAGTCACAAAGTTGGCAACACTGTGGGAGGAGCGCTTCATTTGCAACTCGGCGCAGCGCAGGCGGGAGGAGCAAATAATCGGCTTGTTTTGTTTCTTATAATCGTTCAAAACTCAGATCGTAATCGTGATTAAAATTCGATTAATTGAGCAGCCCTACTTAAAAGTGTGTTACTTTTTCTGTACTAATTATTTCCTGTCTTAATATCAGTAAACTTTTCACTCATGAAAAAAAAGTGAGCAAAATGTAGGCTATAAACAAGTAATAAATGAAGTTTTAACCCCTTAAAGTGGAGAGGTCCTGGCGACCCACTGAGAGGCTTTGGCACCCCCTTGTGGGGGTCGGGACCCCCAGGTTAGGAACCACTGGTTTAAACGTAAGTCCTCTCTGCTCACCAACCCATTACACCACCACAACATGTAAAACCCCTGCTCCTCTTCACATCTATGATGACCCAAAAAAGCACACATCACCCTTCTGTTCACTGAGCTCCAGTGACTACCCTTAGCCCCCCGCGTCAAACGCAACCACCGACATTAGCCTAGAAAGTCCTGAAGGAAACGGTCATCGCCTAGCGGTGCCGACACCACACTCATGGCCATCCAGACGCTGTGTCGTTCCACGACATTAATGCGTGCTGCCAGGATGGAGATGTCTCTGTTTATCTTTAAAAGTCAACATTACTCATAACTTTAATGCATTCGCAGTGGTCTCTAGTAGAAATTAATGCCTTGTAGGTCATTCTCTGGGGGAAAAAAAACTTAAGAGGCGCCTGTTAGAGGACGTAGAAGTCAGCCAGAGGAGAAAGTAGCTTCAGACGGCAGGATTTGGAGTCCCATTTCCTGATATTTGGACATCTCGTCTTGGATTGGCTATCACCAACCCCCTTTGCTCTGCAATGTTGATGTTTTATCTCTACAAACAACACAAGCCTGAAGGAGATGTGCCGCCTTGTGGAGTAGCTAATGCTAGCGGTTAGCTTCTACTAGTAGAGACGTTCTCCGCTGTTTCCTGGACACTAAACTAAAAACGGGAGACAGTGAATTTGTTTTACAATTGGTAACCAATTAGTAACTAACCCATCTCTTGAATTCTTTCTTCTATGGATAAAGGGCAGGCATGTACTACTGCATGTTACTATTGGAATTAAAACTCAGAGACTAGACTGGATATGAAAGGTTACCAAAACACTGCTGTAGATCATATAATCATTCATGTAGAATAATGGGTCGCTGTAAACAACCATGCTTCCGTCACCTGAGGGGTTGTGGGAAGACTCAGGTCAGCAAACAGCTTCGCCAGCTGGAAAACAACCACAGAAAAGATCACATCAACTGAAGCAAACAAGAGCTGATGTCATCTGTGCAAGTCCACTACCATGGCTTTGTTTTCCTGGATGTTCTTGTCTCGTTTTGTTAGGCAGTGAGACGGGACCTCTCCTTCATCCTCCTCCTCCTCCTCTTCCTGCTTCATCATCTGTCTTCCTCTCCGTGGACAAGGATCATCTTTGATGGGCATTTTAATCTTGTCTTTTCTTTCACGTTTGGGGGTGGGCAGTCTTTTCATTGGAAACCTGAAAGCAGACAGTAATTCTTAAAAATAAAAATGACACCTGCAGCATCTGCTGAATCCCATTTTTGATGGAGTTTAACACAAACTTAAGTGCAACTAAAAGACTCCTCCTCTTTGGCGGGGGGGCCTCCTCTCCATCTGAGTAAAAGCGAGTGTTGTGATCGCTGTCACCCCCCAAATCCACCTTCAGAAGAAAACCCAGAGGGGAAAAGCATGAAGGTTTTCACTTCTCAGTCACAAGTCTCGTTTTAACAAAATAGCATCATGGGTAGTACTTTGGTCTCTTCCAAACAGCCTCCGTCTTCCTCGCTGAAACCTTCAAATTCCTCCTCGCTGTCTGACTGGCTGAACAGGTGAGCCAGCTCAGCGGTTATAAATTTGGATTTGAATGTGGCGGCCTGTTGAGACATTAAAACAATCATGAACTGATCAGATCTTTACACCAGAGGGAGACCAAGTCCACTGCATCCTCTTAAAAATAAGGAATAGGCTTGTAGTGCTTTCAGAGCTTCTGATTTCATGGGTTGCCAGGAAAAAGCCTTTTCCATGTAAGCACTTGAAATCGTATATTGATTTCCAAAATGTTTCTGTAACAAATCCTTTGCCATTGTATAGCCACGCTCCGGAGCCGGGATTATAAGGCCCGTCTAAAATGCAAAGTTTGTGGACACCTCCATCCTACTGTGCTTCATATAAAAGGAGAAACACCGGTTGAAACAGTGGATACTTCCAACCAGTTAATTTGACCCAAAACATGCGGACATACAGGGGCCGGTAATGAAAAGTGTGTGCTGTCTATCTTACCAGTAAAGGTTAAAAGCACCAAGGTATAGGGCTGCACGATATTAGGAAAACCTGCGATATTCGGTAACAGTGCTTAATATTGCGACATCGATATTACTCACGATAAATGAACAAATACTAAAGTATGCAGTGTTGATGTCATCTGGCATGTGACGTCTGCTCTGGGTTCAAAGCAAACAAAAACTAATGCATGAATTTCATTACAACATACCATTTTTATTGCAGAAATATGCAGCTGCACCTGCTACTGTATTAGCAGCAAAACAACAAACTGCATGCATGCAGTTTCTCAGTGACTTTAAAACATCACCTCCTCCATAAAACTTTTTCTGATGCTCCAAATACAGAAAAACATCCCTTACCAGGGTTTTTTTATAAATAAAAACAATCAGAAAATTAGTTTAAATGTTAAATAGCAAATTCTCTCATTGCTACTGAGCATTTTCTCCACTTATGTGGTTATGATATAAGGCTGTTGCTGTAATTGGGAAGTGAACTGTGCTGGGCCAAACTAGGAGAATATTAAGATTTTTTGAGGGAAAGAGAAAAACAATTGTCTACCTTTCAGAAGAGGAACTGGCAAAAAACTACATGGAAAATATGTGGAAATATTTGTTTTTAACCCCAAATTGAACAAGTTTACCTAGATCTTAAAAAGCAGCTCAGATGATGAAACTGCAACTATGATTCTGATAACAAGCTAACAAATTGAACTAGCTCCTGTTAAGATAACCGGCTAGCAGATCTTCTGACTGACAGTTTATGTGCAGCAGCAAATCAACTATCCTGATTAACAAGGTTATAAAAGCTCATAAAGGAAAAATCACTTTGATGTGTGGGGGAACTTTTCCAGGCCCTCTTTAGCAGGGTGGGACTGGGAGGAGAGTGCTGCTGTAGCCTTTTAGCTGGAAGCTAACCGGAGCCTGGGGCTAACACGAGCGACATGAAGGTGGGTTGATTCACCGGCACATGTCGGAGTCAGCCCGGTAAAAATGATTAACGACACCGAGCGGAATCACGTTCACGTTTGAAAGCAGCTCTGAATCCAGGAACCTCAGCACAAAGTGCGTTCGTTGCTCTGAGCCAGCATGACAAACAAGGGAACAGCGCCACAAACTCTGTTTGGGTGTTGCTTTCCAAAAGGGTCTATGTAGGGGGCGGGGGTATTACGTGAACGGAACCATCTGATTGGCCGCATGTCAGAAGGACTACATTTGATTGGTCAAATAATACGTCCGTGTAAAAAACAGAGCTGGTTTACAAAAAGCTGATGTATGACACAGATGGAAATGTTTGAACCAAACATTTATCGCCGTTTTTGCCGTCTTTTGCGATGGGCCTATCGCACATCCTGTTATCGCGATGACGATCATTTTTCGATAAATTGTGCAGCCCTACCAAGGGAAATGAAATAATACACACCTATGCATTTTTGGATCCTGGAAGCTCAGCCACATTTTGTACTGAGCAGCTGATGCAAAGGTTGAATGTTGCTGGTCGGAAAACCAGCTTCCTGTTGAGCACGATGGGGCAAAAAAACAGTTATGCCAACACACCTATTAAATGGGAGGTATCTGGCCGACACAGTTATGACTTCTACAGTCTTTCTGAAGTCCTCGCACAAGTGAAAATGCCTGTCACTGTTGATAACATGATGACAAAGGAAGAACTGACAAAATGGCCATATTTATCAAAGGTCAATTTTGCAACCATAACAGTGGATGTGGACTTGCTGATTGGAACCAATGCGTTTAAACTGCTGGAACCCTGGGAAGTCATTAATAGTTGTGGAAATGGTCCGTATGCTATTAAGACAGTATTAGGATGGGTGGTTAGTGGTACACTGAATGGTAACAGTGACATCTTAAAAGATGAACCTCTCACAGCCACAGTGAACAGAATTTCTGTGTACAAATTGGAAGAAATGTTGGCAAACCAATATAAGCATGAGTTCAAAGAGAAAGTCATGGAGGGGAGTGAAATGTCCCAAGAAGATCTCCAGTTTATGGAAAGCATGGATCGTTCAGCAGTGTTGCAAGGGAAGCAATATTGTTGAAAGTTGCCCTTTAAAGACAAAGAAGTACTTTTACCAAACAATCTTGCAGTAGTCAAACAAAGGATGCAAGTTTTGAAGAAAAAAACTCTTGAAAACCAAAAAGCTGCACCAAGGGTACATAGAGTACATGGATACAATCTGCAAAAAACAATGTGCAGAGCAAGTACCTCACCAAGATCTGCACTGTGAAAAAGGAAAGGTTTGGTACATTCCGCATCATTGTGTTTTCCATCTGAAAAAGAAATCTCTTTGTGTGGTGTTTGATTGTGGTGCTACATTTCAAGGTGTATCCATGAACAGCAAGCTGTTGCCTGGGCCAAATCTCACAAGCTCTCTACTTGGGAGTTTTACTTCGATTTAGAAAGGAGCCAGTTGCCTACATGGGTGACATTCAAGCCATGTTTTATCAAGTGAAGGTTGCAGAAGAAGACAGAGATTTTCTTCGCTTTCTCTGGTGGCCAGAAGGAGACCTCACTCAGGAGCTCTGACAATATCGTATGACTGTGCATCTGTTTGGCGCTACATCATCTCCAAGTTGTGCAAGTTATGCACTAAGAAAAACAGCAGATGACAATCAGTCTGAGTTTCCTGAGGAGGTTATTCAGTCTATAAAACAGAACTTTTATGTGGACGACTGTCTCAAAAGTTCTCCCACCGAAGAAGAGGCAATCCAAATGATAAAGGACTTAAGCTGCTTATGTGAAAAGGGCGGTTTTGTGTTGGACAAGTGGAGCTGCAATAGCAGAACAGTGCTACAATAAATTGCAGAAGATTTCAGAGCCAAGAGCTTAAAGGATCTGGACCTGGAGCAAACAGAACTTCCTGTTGAAAGGACCCTTGGCCTTCAGTGGTGCATGGAAACAGACACCTTTAAGTTCAAGATGGAGATGAAACATCAATCCTTTACCAGGCGTGGTATGCTGTCAACTATCTGTTCGGTGTATGATCCACTGGGTTTTTTGGCACCGATTGTTCTGCTCTCCAAAATAATGCAGCAAGAACTCTGTAGGAGACGTTGTGGATGAGATGATGATCTACCCAAAGACATCTCACACCAATGGAAAAAATGATTGGAGGATCTGGAACAACTGACTGCATTTAATGTAAATAGATGCATCAAGCCAGTGAAGTTTGGGGAAATCAAACTTGCACAGTTACACCACTTTACTGATGCAAGTGAACGAGGATACGGAACTGTAACCTACATTTGGATGTTGAATCCAGAGGACGACATTCAGGTTACCTTTCTGCTCGGCAAAGCCAGAGTAACACCATTAAAAGCCGTTACTATTCCAAGGTTGGAACTGACAGCAGCTGTTTTAGCTGCCAGAATGGACACTTGCTGAAGATGGAGCTCAATTTCCAACTGGAAGCTTCAGTTTTTTGAACAGATAGTACTTCGGTACTAAAATATCTGAACAATGAGGACAAACGCTTTCACACATTCGTGGCCAACAGAATTTCAACCATCAGAGAAGTGTCAGAACCTTCACAATGGAGACATGTCAGCTCTAAAGACAATCCGGCTGATGGTGCGTCAAGAGGAATGAAAGTCTCAGATTTCTTGGAAAAGAACAACTGGTTGAAAGGACCTCTGTTTCTTTGGAGACGCCCAGAAGAGTGGCCCGAACCAGTTTTGGATACATCATTGGATTGTAATGATCAAGAAGTGAAGGAGGCAACAGTGAACACCATTAATATAGGTCATGACAATAGTCCCACAGACCAGCTCATCTTGTACTTATCTGACTGGAAGAAGCTCAAAATAACAGTTGCTTGGTTTTTGAGGTTGAAAGTCAAGTTGCTGGCCCAAAGTTGTTCAAAAAAGCAATTGCAGGATCAGTCAAAGCAGACCACCAGTCAAATGGTTACAAAAAGAGGTGCTTTGACATTGGATGATTTGATGGAATCAGAACTTGCAATAATTCGTTATTGTCAGCACCAAAGATTCAGCAAGGAGATTCTTTCTTTGTCCTCAGGAACAAGGATAGTAAGTCGACAAAGTTCAATTTATAAACTGGACCCAGTTTTAGAGCATGGGTTTCGGAGAGTGGGTGGAAGATTGAGCAGAGGATCAATGCCTGAAGAAGTTTAACATCCATATATCCTCTCCAAAGACCAGCACATCTCTACTCTCATCATCCGACATGTACATCAGAATCTAGGTCACAGTGGACGGACTCATACACTGTCAAAGGTGAGAAGAAGATTTTGGATTACCAATGGAAATTCAGCAGTAAGAAAGATCATTGGTGCATGTAGTTTCTGCAGCCGTTACACTGGAAGAACAATGGAACAAAAAATGGCTGATTTGCCCAAAATTAGGATTCCTGATTTGCCACCATTCACCAACACAGGAGTGGATTACTTTGGACCTTTTGAAGTAAAGAGAGGAAGATCTACATGCAAGAGGTATAGTGTTATCTTCACCTGTATGTCCAGCAGAGCCGTTCATCTGGAAGTTGCTGCCTCATTAGACACTGATGCATGTATAAATGCTATAAGGCGTTTTATCAGCAGAAGAGGACAGGTGACACATTTGACATCTGATAATGGCACCAACTTTGTTGGTGCACAAAGAGAACTGAAGGAAGCCTGGGCAGCATTGGATCAGGACAAGATTCAAGGATCCTTGTCACAGGTTGAGGTACACTGGAGTTTTAACCCACCAACAGGCTCACATGGTGGTGTGTGGGATCGATCCGTTCAGTGAGAAAGGTTCTCAACTCAGTACTACATCAACAACGGTTGGATGACGATGGACTTCATACAACATTTTGTGAAGTAGAAGCCATTTTGAATGATTGACCAATCACAAAACTCTCAGACAATCCCAACGATCTTGAACCTCTAACACCTAATCATCTTATTCTTTTAAAGCGTAAACCTGCTTTTCCACCAGGCGTGTTTGAACCTAAACATCAATACATGAGAAGACGTTGGAAGCAAGTACAGTATCTTGCTGACATTTTTTGGAAAAGATGGATCCATGAATACTAGGGCTGTAGCGAAGCCTCGACGAAGTCGACGGCTCGATTCTAAAAATTTGTCGACGTCAGATCCGGAAGTCGACGCACCGCGCCCACTTGTTGCATCCCCAGGAGTTTGTAAATAGAGGAGGAATCTGCCCGTTTTTCCTCTAGTTCGCCCTCTTCTCCGCCTTCACTAAAATCTCCGCCAAATACCGAAGACCCGGAACAACGTCCGTCCACTACTAGATTATTTTCCTGTTTTGCCCCTTCGTCTCCCGGCAACGGACAACAACTTCCGGGGTCAGATGTGCGCTGCTCCGTCTCTGTCGCAGATGTAGAAAATCACCGGGAGCGCTTCTCCCTTCATTAAGGAGCTTCTTTCAGACATGAGGAGAGCTGTTTTGGTGGTAGCAGTCTCTCCTCTGTGCTGGTCTGTTTGCTGCTGGGTGTTTTGGTTTATTTAAACTTGGTAACATGAACTTAACGTTGGTAAAGCTACTGTTAGCATCTTCGCTAACAGCTTCTTGCGTTGGGATAAGCTGTTACGTTTTGGTTTAGAGTTCATCTTTTTTGTGGTGTAGATCTCCCTTTTATTACATTTAGAGTGTTGTGGGTTTTCGGTTTAGTGTAAAACATCACCTGAGTTTGGTTTAACCCGTAAGACCACTCGCCTCACGCACATAAGTGACCAAAACAAAGCAGCATGGAGACACTCCATCTTCTACCACCTCTCAGGCAGCAGCCTGCACTCCCAAGTTCTACACGTCACCAGAACATAACCAACTGCAACACAATAAAAGCAGTGTTATACAAAATGGAAGGCCTGTAGTGTTTATTCTCTTACAGTAAGAATTTATCAATTTTTTTTGAGGAATTTATTTGAGATTTTCTGGTTTTTGTTAATTGTGCAATAGAAAAATAATCATTAGATTAATTTTCTAAATAGTCATTAGAAGAGTCGACTATTCGATAAAATAATCGTCAGAATAATCGTTTTAAAAATAATCGTTTAACCCCAGCCCTAATGAATACTTACCTTTACTCCAAGAGAGTCAAAAATGGAACGCAAGAAAGTTTGGTCCCTGGAGATGTGCTTGTGATTATGGATCCTTCCGCTCCACATGGCTCTTGGCCACTTGGGAGAGTTCTGAAAACCTTTCCAGATAAGAATGGATTGGTACGTTCAGTCAGGTTGCAAACAAAAACCAATGTTTTGGATAGGCCAGTGACAAAACTTTGCTTCGTTAATGGGGTATAAATTGACCTTGATCATTATGGTTGCTCCTACTCTATTTAGTTTAAATTGTTATTGACAATAACAATTAGGGGCCCGTGTGTAGGAGCCAAATATGTTGTTTCCTATCTTTGGTCTCGATGTTTTAATTGATATGTGGGCGTGTCATTGTTACTGGTCGGAATAAAGGTAGTGATGTCACTGTTGGCGTCAGGCACTATTCCGGAAGGGCAAACAGGTTTTTGACCGCTGTGGCGTGAAGACGTTTGAATGGGAAAGTAAGCTAATTACTCCCATCATTGTTTCACCTGGAATGCAATCAACATTAAACAAGAAGCATTATCATAACAATTCCACACTTAAGGCTGTTTTTTAAGTAATTTAATTAGTCAACATCGGATCAACACAGAACGTCAACCAGGTCCCGGTCTAGCAGCCTCAGAAGTTCAAGTAATGGACTTGACTTCTACAACATCCACAGAGAAAACATGTAAAGGAGGGAGATGTTTTTCAGCTGAAATAAAATCTAGACCATCAGGATGAACAGAACTTGTTTTTGAGTGTTAACTTACAAACCATCTCAACCTAAAGGACATCCTCTTGCTGCAGGCCTGCTGTGGCAGGACCAATATTGACTACGTTTACGTGCAGCCAATATCCGGGTTATGATCGGGTTAAGGTCGGCATTCGGGTTTCTGAGTTGATCAGAATAACCCGTTTACAAGCATAAATAGAAAGAGTTACCCCTAACTTGCATAACCCGATTTAAATGCTGACGTTGGGGTAGCGTCAAGACGTATGGACTACGTCCAGACGCAATATGCGTCATTTCCGGTTCTTCTTGTTCCGGTATCCGTGAAAACAACAATATGCTTCCCAGTTCGGAAGAGATAGCGACCGCGTTTGTTTGTGCTTTAGTTTCTTCGTCACTCCAAAAGTGTGGTGCTGTGCCGTGACTCGCCATTTTGCTCCCAACTTGTTGTTTACTTCCGGTGTTCTGGCGCATACAAGACGTCTCGCTACTCAAAAGACCAAGATTCCTTGCGAACAGAGCATGCGCAGAACACACACTTTGATGGGGATATCCCGATATGCGTTTACACGACCAAACATTCGGGTTAGAAAAGGGTTACCCCAGGTGTAGTAACCGGGTTTTCAAAAACCCGGTTATGAGCATATCCGGGTTTTTGGTGGTGTTTAAAAGGGCCTGCGTAACCTGGTTATTGTGAATATTCGGGTTTTAAAAGGGTTACTGGCTGCATGTAAACGCACTCATTGTAGTGGAAAAGAAAATCAACTTATCCCTCTGTTGTCCTCAGTAGCTTCACTCTCACATTTCTGACTATAGGTTATAGGTTTCTGACTACATACATATACATATATATACATATACATATATATATATATATACATACATACACACATATACATACACATATACATATGGTTTTTGTAACACTGACACGTTTGATCATTTATTGCCTTATTAGGTGATAAAAATGGAATGTTTCAAGATTATATAAAATACCAGATTAAACAAACATAAAAGTGTAATTTTCCCAATTTAGTCTTTAAAGCCAACAGAAAAGACGTTTTATGGCACTTTTGAACAACAACGTGGTAAATTAAACCTGTAGGTATCGTTCGTCATTTTGTTTGTTTTTGTTTATAGCCTGCTCTGCTCTCCCTCCTGTGGCCTTTTACATTGTACTGCTGTTGAAATACAGAGAGCAGATGATCTATGACCTCTTCGCTTTGAGCACGTGTCTAAAAGTAGCTAATTATTGACAAACTAATAGAGATTTAGGTGTAAAACAGGTTTACAAAACCACTTCAAACGGAGTTTTAACATGGTTTCTTTGTGTGAGCAGAAATTATTTTCGACCAAACACAGAAAAGAGACATTTAAACCATCTGTTGGTGCACGTACCTTGGCAGTGAGGGTCATTTTATCCTTTCAGTTGTCAAATATCGAGCAAAAGTTTGAGCTAGTGTTCATTGAGAGATGATTTAAAAGTAACTGCTGAAGCGAGTCGGGGACCACAACTGTAGAGGAGTTTATGGTGGAAGAACTGCGTGTAAAATTACACGTATTCTTCCTAAAACCATATATTTATCACATTTATGCGATAAAACATTATTTATAACCGATCGTATAAGTTCAACTTTAGATATTCTATTTTCATTAAGTATTTATCCTTAGTTTCTCTATTGATTTCCCCCTACTCTCATAATGGTATGGTCCATCTTTTCGCGCGAAAGCAGCATGTGGGCGTGTCAAGCTCCGTTTTCTCAGGTTCACTTTGGCCCATCACTCGAGAGATCACTACCTAGCTGCAGACGCAGCCCCGACAAACCACGCCCTCATATGCCTGTTGAGCTCCCCCGAGCTCCCCTGGTGGTCAGAAAAGGGAAATACCTCAATAACGGCAGCCCTCCCAGCGGGCGGGGAAACCTGGGTCGGATCCAGGGCGCAGCATCCCGCTGTCAGCTCCAGCAGGTGATCGGGCTGTGTTTTTAATTCCCAGCGGGGCAGGGGAGCTCATTTCTGGGTCGGATCCGATCCGCAGCAGCCCGCCACAGGCTCCAGCAGGTGATGGCGGTGTTTCAAACCCTCCCAGCGGGGCAGGGGAGCTGAAACCTGGGTCAGATCCAGGGTGCAGCACCCCGCCTCAGGCTCCGGTAGAGGAGATTGGGATTTGATTCATATCAAACGCCTTTCAATGCGAACAATGTAGATCAGTTGGTCCAATGATTGAGTTATGCTGCAGATGGACTTTAACAGACACCGTAGTTGTGACGTAGGAGGTGTTCGTATGTACCACGCGTTCGTGCTACCCGGTTAACATGGCTGTGTAAGTTGCTGAGAGTAACCAGTAAAAGCTCCCATAAACAAATCCTGGTCACATAACTCATTTCCACATGGTGTCAGAAGTCACAAACAATAAAATTGAAAGAATACGTTTATACAGAAATAGTAACAATGTAATTAAACAGACAGGACTCCAGATTTAAATATGAATGCATGGATATTTTTTTTCTTGCATACACACTTTTTGGCCATCCCCAGTGGGATTATAAAACACAGATACCACCAACAAATAATCAGTTGCCGGACAATAGGCACAACATACCTATGCTTTCTTAAGTTAGCAGGTGAGTAATGTATGTGCAAGTGTTTATTTTAAATGCAATAAAATAAAATATCAGAAAAAGTAATTAGTGGAAATCGTTTTAATTAACCCCTTAAGCCCACTAGCATGCATTTATGCGAGAGCACGCCTCCTACAGCAACATTTAACTTTCAACCATTTATTACAGGCACTATACAGTGGGTCTAAGTCAATACGAGTGAGTAGTTAATATTAATGTTACTATTTATGATTTTTTTATTGCTTTACAGTGAAAAGCTGCTGAAGTGTAATTTTTAAGCATATTTACATGTGTATATATGCATTTCATATATTCTGTTAACAGGAATAATTGCTGGCCCTTTGACACAAAATGTATTGATTTAGAAATTACTAAAATATTTTGAATTATGAATATAATTCACAAGACTAGTAAACTGATATTGACCATACACTAATCTTTAAAATTATGCTGTAAACACAAAAGCAGAAAAGTTTTGCTTTAGAAAAAAGTTCAGACAAATGAAATAACCAACAACTTTTATTGGCCTTACAAATACCTTCCAAAAAATAAAATAAAATGTCAACACAACACTACAGCCTCTTCAAAAATTCAGATGAGTCCAGAGCTTTTCTGAATTTCTCCGAGTATATGAGCAGTTCCATGGCATAGGACATCAGCTGCCTCTCACTAATGAGACAAAGATAAATAGCAATTAGTAAAAATGACATTCACACCTAGAGGCTGTCATAAACAATGTGAAAACATAGGCATTAGCACTGTTCTTGTGTTTGTAGAATACCTCCAGTCAAACTGCAGCCCACTGCCGCTAGAACTTACCCCCGAAGAGGGAAACTCCCACAGGGTTTGAATCTGGGACTCTCCACCATTTGACCTTAGAACTGGAGAAGCCTCTTGGATGAGAGGTGAAACGTCTTCAAGCAACTCAAAGAAGTCCAGACGCTTTTCTTTCAAAGCTCCTTTAACTACAATGACCTGGATAACTGAGACCCTTCACAGACTTTAAAACAAGTCAAATTCTGATTTGTCTAAATTTGTCAACAAACTAATGATAAAAACAGGTATCACTTCCTGTGTCCCTCAGTTCTTCAGCCACCTCCTGGTGTGTGTGTGTGTGTTGGATGGTTTTCTGAAAAATCTCTGGCTTATTAAAGCATACAGCCAAACTGATTTTACAACCCAGACATCACAAGATCTCTCAGATACTTAACCAGGTTTTGCTAAAACATCTAGCTTACATTCCACCATTTCATTCATTATCTGTTATCTTGTACAACCATCATTTCATTCATACTTTGTCACGTATGATCATTAGTTTAGAAAAATAGAATTAAATTACTTTTTACAAACTATATCCAGGACTCTGTCTGAATCAATATGAAGTGTGTGTTCCCAGCCAGAGAACTTAAGATAAGGCTAGATTAAATATTCAAAGGTCAATCAGATTGATAATTCATATGGAATATCAAATCTTATTGATAATTGAATAAATGTAGCTAATCCTTACTGCTACACTTGCATGCCGTGCCCTAATTTATCAACGTTATCAGTGAAGTAATTACCAAAATGAGTGGCTATGTCTTTGCTTTTAGTTAAAAAGATCCCACCTGATTATATACATGATGGTGCTGCTTGTTGTCTGCCATTTTGATTAAATTTGTTCTTGTAATACAAGCCTCAGTAAATGTCTTGTGAAGTTCTACCCCGAAGTATTCACTGCTTTCCCTTTTGTTGCCGCAGAGATTACATCGGAGTCTGTAAACCCATCTGGAGCTGATTCTGCTCCTGAGCAAGAAGCATTATTGTTGGTGTAAATAAGGTCAATGCATGCTGAAGATGTGCGCCCTGAGTTATCGAGAACAATCCTAGTAGGATGTTTAACTAGTTGCTTTAGGTTACACTTCAGAGCGGTCTCTTTCAACCTCTTCTTCAAGGAATAATTTTGCCAATCAATGTTAAAATCCTCCAGTGTATACATTTCATTCCCATGTTCTGCTGGAGGTCTGTACTTACATCCAACAACAACATCCGTGCCCCAAGAAACCACAAACGCACACACACACACACACACACACACACACACACACACACACACACACGCACGCACGGACGCACGCACGCACGCACGCACACACACACACACACACACACACACGCAAGCACGCACGCACGCACACACGCACGCGCACACACACACACACACACACACACACATGTATGTTTATGTATTTATTTATTCGAGCACAGGGAGACAGCTAAACTACAAACAAGGCAGAAGAACCAAACAAAAGAAAAAGAAAATTCCTGCTATGGCATGCTAAACATGTATTGCTCATACATACCAAAATGAAGGAGCTGATACATTAAGTACTGTGATGCAGTTGCAGGTATGCATCACATGCTCATGAACAGATTTAATAAGAAAACAAAATAAAGAGACTGACTTTAAATGTGCAGACGAATCACGTGTCTTTTTTTTGTAAACAAAGGGATTTACAAAATAAAGCTGGTCATTAATCCACGTGTTCTACAGAGAAATGATTGGTACTAAAATATTTTCAAACAAGATGGAAGATCAGAATAACTGCATTTGAAAATAAATGACAACCAAAGAAATTGTCTGTCTGAGGACCAACATTATGATCATCCAATCACATTGCAGTGACGTCATTTCTCCTTAAATCTAGCTAAAGTGCAGGAAAAGTATGTTGGTGTGAATCTTTATCAGTCCACAGTCTGCAGTGGCTAAATGTTTTTAAAACATTTCTTTCTGAAATGTTGCACGTGCAGGTGGACTTTGTCATCCTTATCCAGACCTGTTGCTGCTTGCATGCAAATATGCAAAAAAGAGACCGCTCTGAAGTGTAACCTAAAGCAACTAGTTAAACATCCTACTAGGATTGTTCTCGATAACTCAGGGCGCACATCTTCAGCTTGCATTGTCCTTATTTACACCAACAATAATGCTGCTTGCTCAGAATCAGCTCCAGATGGGTTCACAGACTCCGATGTAATCGCTGCGGCAACAAAAGGTAAAGCAGTGAAGTTAGGACCGGATACTTCGGGGTAGAACTCACAAGACATCTACTGAGGCTACTTTCATAAATGGCATTGAGGGAGCAGACTGGAATAGAGTGTTAAAGTCTAGAAATGGCTGAAATATTCAAGTTTTCCCTTTTGATGAACTAATTTGATAAATTCATTGATTTATCAAATCCTCCAGACATCCAGTTTTGTGCGAGACAGTCTCACATTTTCATTACTTTTCACACTTCCCGCAAATAGAGACTTATGTCCTTCTTTATTGTCAGTCTCTCCTTTTGAGTTAAAGATGAATTTGACCACTAATGTTCCAAGTTTTTAATGTTCATTCCTGCTAACAATAAGAAGATATGTGTATGCCAAGAAAGATGGACACTAAAAAGCCAGAATGGCAGAGAGTAGCAGCTGGCTTTTGTTCTGTCACAGTTAAGATGTCCATTTATTGCTGACACTTTAAACCTTTAGTAGTCACCAAAGAACATGTTTAGAAGTCCCCAACTAACAAACACACTTTTTTTTAATGATTGTCTCAGAGTTACTCAGCTGTCCTGGAAACACGCCATGTGCATATCTGACAGTCAGTTAAACTCTTCTCACACCAGGATCAAGCTTCTTGTCCACATGTTTAATGATGCTGAAAAGTCCTGGAAAAGATAACGAAGGAGCGGCTTCACAGCAACTCTGCGACTGGTCTTGAATGGCCCAGCCAGAGCCCTGACTTAAACCTAACTGAACATCTCTGGAGAGACCTAAAAATGGCTGCCCACTAACGTTTACATCCAACCTGACAGAACTGGAGAGGATCTGGAAGGACGAATGGCAGAGGATCTCCGAACCCAGGTGAAAGAAACTCGTTTCATCTTTAACAAGAGCACTCGTGG